GACCGACAGGGCGGGGCCGCGAGGGTTAGGAGACTCCCAGCAATGAAAGTGAAGGGAGAGGGCCAGGGCTGAGTGGTAGAGGGACCCTCAGTGAGGCCTCCCTTCTGGAAGGTCAAATGGCAACATACAGAGATAACTTTTTAAAAGTGCAAACTACAAAAAGAGAAAAAAAGTACAAACTCTGACTCAGAAAACCTATGAATAAGGGCTTCTCATGAGGAAACATTTAGAGGAATTTGCAACTTGAATGAATTTAAGAAATGCATATCATCAAAGGAGGTTGACCAAAAAAACACACAACAGAAGTAGCTCTTAAATTTCTGGAAAGATGCTCAATCTCACACACAAGATAAATGCAAAATAATGTATAACTTTTCACCTATCGGATGGCCAAAGATTGCAGATCTAACAGCCTGCCACGCTATGGGAAAACAGGAGCTTTCCTACATTGCTGGTGGGAGTGTAATCCCCTTAGCCTCAGCAAGCCCACTTCTAGAAATTCACCCAATGGATATATAGCACATATGTGAAATGACATGTGCAAGATTATTAAGTGAAGCATTGCCTGAATAGCAAAATATTGGAAACATTACAAATGTCCATCAATAGGAGACTGACTAAATTGTGATACACCTAGCAAATGAAATATTAAGCAGCTTTAAAAATGAATGAGGAAACTTAAGGTACAGTAATTGGAAGATTTCTAAACTATATTAAGTTAAAAGGGCAAGATGCAAAACATAGCATGTCACTAGCTGTGTCCAAGAAAATGAGAAAAGAATATAAATAAAAGCATATGTAGCCCTAGCTGGTTTAGCTCAGTGGATAGAGCATTGGCCTAGGGATTGTAGGGTCCCTGGTTCGATTCTGGAAAGGGCATATGTCTGGGGTTGCAGGCTCGGTCCCTAGTGGGGGGCATACAGGAGGCAGCCAATCAATGATTCTCTCTCATCATTAATGTTTCTATCTCTCTCTCGCTTCCTCTCTGAAATCAATAAAAATATATAAAAATAAAAAATAAATTAAAAAAGCATATATAAAAAAATAAATGTGTATTCATACATTCCAAGATTTGTAAAGATACCAAGTTTTCATGATTGTAGTTACCTGGTAGGACTAGAAGCATTGGGGACAGGGTGGGAGGCAGACTTTTCACTGGGCCTCTTTGTATTCTTTGAGTTTTGAGCCATATAATTTACTAAGTCTTCAGAAATTCCACTCTTTTAATAATTTCAGAAGAAGGTCTTGATGTCCACAGAAGGATATTCACCTCGTTTGATGGTAGTAGAGGCCAGATAAGAACCCAAATCTATTTTTGGCCAACTCTGGAAATCAGATTATCTTCCATCTTCAGGATTAGTTGTTGTACATTTGCTTTTTGGTTTAGTGTATTTCCCAATCTAATTGTGCAATGTCTGTTTTCTTTCTTATGTGTGGTCTCTGAAAATCTCTGCTCAGTTAGCTTAGGTGTCAGCTAACAACTGGGGAGAGGTTTTCAGTGGGCAGGCTCCTTTCTTCAGCCAGCACAGCCAGTGTCCAGGGGTTCTTTCTGACAGAGGTGGTCTGTGTGAACGTGAAGGAATGTGAGTGAATAGCAAACCTCATGCCCTGATGCGAATTTGAATCCCCAGACAGAAGTCATGGCAGAGGAGTCAACACAGAAATACTTCAGCATTAGGGCTCTGCCTTCCCGCACTCAGCCTCTAGCTACCTGTAGTCAGAAATTTCTTTGCTTATCTGTTCCTCTCTGGCTCCACTGATGTGATTGGTTCCCAGTGCCGTGATCAGTTCAGGAGCCCAAGACTCATCCAATACCTTCTTGTCCTTCAGCAGTAATGTCAATAGACTGCTCATCTCTGGACTTTATTTTCACTTACTTTATAATAGCTTTCCTCTCTCTCCTCCTCTTATTTACTATATGAATACCAGAGGCCCCATGCACAAAAATTTGTGCACTCGGGGGAGTCCCTCAGCCCAGCCTATGCCCTCTTGCAGTCTGGGACCCCTCGGAGGATGTCCACCTGCTGGCTTAGGCCCGCTCCCTGGGGGGATCGGGCCCAAGCTGGCAGTCAGACATCCCTCTGGCAGCCTGGTAGCCCTCGGGGGATGTCCACTTACCAGCAGGGAGCAGACCTAAGCTGCAGTCGGACATCCTTAGTGCTGCTGAGGAGGCGGGAAAGGCTCCCGCCACCACCACTCTGCTGGCAGTCTTCAGTCTAGCTTGTGGCTGAGCAGAGCTCCCCCTGTGGGAGCGCACTGACCACCAGGGGACAGCTCCTGCATTGAGCATCTGCCCCCTGGTGGTCAGTGTGTGTCATAGTGACTAGTCATTCCCAGTTGTTCTGCTGTTAGGGTCAATTTGCATATTACCATTTTATTATAGAGGATAGAGGCCTGGTGCACGGGTGGGGACCAGCTGGTTTGCCCTGAAGGGTGTCCCGGATCAGGGTGGGGGTCCCGCTGGGGTGTCTGGCCAGCCTGGTGAGGGGCTGATGGGTGTTTTCAGGCTGGCCACACCCCCTTCAGGGTGGGGGTCCCCACTGGGGTGCCTGGCCAGCCTGGGTGAGGGGTTGATGGCTGTTTGCAGGCTGGCCAAGCCCCCTGGCAA